CTCTAACCTCCTAACCTCAAGGAAGGACTTTGAACTCATCAAATTTATGCTTGCTCACCTACTCTCATCAAAGAAAGTTAATAAAATCACCTATCTATCATGAAATAAGTGCCCTCACAAGAAGAAATAGTGCACACACTCAAATCAAAAGATTGAATATAAATTAAGGACTTAGCAACAAAGAACACTCTCACACTCACAATGAAAATTCACATGTATGCGCAAAGAACCATAGGCTTGCCCATTATATACATCTCCACTAATTAAGCATGATTGAATAGAATCAAATAGGACTTTAACGGGTTGTAATGTAGGCTAGGGGACGGGTAGGAGAACTATATAATAGTGACTTACACTTCCTTAAGCACTTTGCAATTTTAGACCTCATCACCCATTATTTTCTTCTCTTTATTTTCAATCCTCTCTTCAACAATTATTTCACAAGCAATTCTCATCATCTCAAGAATGCTTCAATGTTTTTTTTTTTTAAGTTTTCCTTCATAACAGCCACCCTCAACTTACGTATTTTACATGCGTTAAGGTGTACAATGTCCTTGGAAGGACCAGGGCCATCATCATGGTAACTTTTTTTTTTTTTCAGGTGACAATTTTTTTTTCATGTCACATTCTTTCAAAGAGGGCTTTAAGCACTTTGTAGCTATCATTGATTACCTTTTCACTCAACCATCCTTTTTTCTCAGAATTGATAATTAGAATAAGTCTATGCTATAATGCTCAAGGAAGGAAGGTGCAAAAACTAAGGATTCAACAAAATAGTCTAGGGCAAAATATGGCTACCAACAAAAGGCTACAGGCTCAAAAGGGCTATCTAGTGATAAAAGATCTGAAAAGGCTAAAATTTACCAGACAAATCAAAGAAAGCCTATTATCATCTTCTAAACAAAGCAACACTTTTTATTTCGGTTCAATAACATGCAGGGCATGTTCTAGACTAAGATGCAAAACATGGAATAAACAAAATCTCACCACACATGACACAAGTATCAATCAAGATGAATCAATTCCACTTCTAAAAGAGACAAGATCATAACAAACTACCAAATAAAATAAGCTATATACCAAGTCACAACCATGAACCTAGATGTCAAAAGGTTTGCAATTTCACTAGCAATCAAGCATTCACAAGAAAGTACTACTCAATTTTAGGCCCAAATAGTAAGTATCACATAACTCAAAAGGGTCTTTTCTTTTATCTCCAAAAAATTAAAAATAAATATAAAATTTATTCCTAAAACAAATAAAAGACACTGGGTTCAAAGGGATTATCCTTAGGAAAAGAACCGAAAATAAAAGCCAAGGAACCCATCCTAAAAAAAACTCAATAAAATGGTACAAACTAAGAATTCATTCCTCCACCCCACAGTTAAAAAGATGTTATGTCCCCAAAGCATTAAATAAAATTTAAAACAAGGGTTAGGAAAACTCCCTGAGGCCTTTAGGCCTAGCTAGTAGCATGTTCTCTTAATTTTCATCAAGGGTCGTCACCCCACACTTAAGCTCAAACATGCTCCTTTGCTTCAAAAAAAATTTCGGTAATCAGACTTCCCCTAATCTGCAAAAACAAGGAAAGAACAAAAAAAGTGATACTAATAAAATAAAATAAGAAGTTACACTACTAATTGGGTTGCCTCCCAATAAGCGCTTAATTTAACGTCGCGGCACGACACCATCAATTTAACTATTTTTCCTTCCATTTTGAAGATATGAATTGCATCCATAATTTTACATCAATTTTTCTATTACGCTCAAGGGGTGGTGCTACAAAAATAAAGGTCCCAAGCAATAGATATCACATTATGCAATTCTTGGATCCTAAGTGAGGAATGTAATTCTCCGATATTGGAACAATAAATTCAAGAATATAGACACAATTTTCCTCCTCCATACACTCTTCTATAGGCTCAGATGGCTCATTTAATTTCTCATCATCTAAACATAATGAGGAAAAATGATTGGAATGAGGTCCAATGCGCCCTAACTTATGAATTATTTTATTATTTACACCCTCGTAATTACACATACTAGAGTTTTAAAAAATAATATTATCTACTTCATTACATAACTCTAGTGTACTCTTCTCAACAATGACAACATCAATAAAAGTATGATCAAGCAATTGGCCCTCAACTTTTAGTTCTTCAAGTTGTCTTACAAGTATTTTTTCTTCCTCACACTTATTATTACTAAATTGTTGGGTGTCATATGATTTAATATTTGCATTCAACTAAAAATTTAATTTATAGAGATCCCAATCATAGGTATCTTCATCAATCATGCACTTAAATATTGATTTATAGCACATTATCAATAAATCTACCATGTCCCCACACAACTTATTTTGTTATGAAAAAATTAGCTTATAAGAATCCATAATGTCAGAAGTACAAAAATTGCAAGAACACTTAACACTACATACTTTTTCAGATGACATCTCAAGAAGAGTAAAACATATAATAAAGAAAAGTAAATTAAAACAAATAATAAAAAAAAACAAAAACAAAACAAAAAAAAGAGAAAAAAAAGGACAACAAGTAAAAATAAATACTAAAGACAATTTCTATGCCATATTCCCTAGCAGTGGCGCCATTCTTGATAACGTTCAAATATACTTCTTGAAAAGAAATATAAACGATCGTATGCAATATATTTAGCCAACTATGACTCGGGGTCGATCCCGTAGAAAATATGGAATAATATTGTCAATAGCAAATGTTTAACTCGATAGTCGTTATATAAAAATGGGGGTATTTAAATTGAAATAAAATAAAAACAATAAAAAGATAGCTTTGAACTAAGTATTTATTTATATTCAGATTATTAAAAGTAACTAGGAATGTGTTTCTCATAAGCTCATAACGCGGTAATCCTAATAATAGTAATCCTTTTCTAGTGTATTACATGCAGAGTAATAAGTTAGGTATCTCTAATTCCTTGGTCCGACAACTAGAGAATTTCACCCCGCACCTTGGTCCGGCTACGAGCGTATAATTTACTAACCCTTACCTTTACCTCATATTAGACATCACATCGATGTTTGACTTAGTTATTTCTTCGCACCAATCGACACTAGACTATTAGATAGTACCACACTAAATCTATGTTGATAATTCTTTTCTTGTTGATTACCTCCTTGGTCCGGCAAGTAGCAACAAGGCGAGTTCTAACGTTGTACACTATTAAAAAGACTTCTAGACGAAAGAATTACCAATGCATGCTTCAACACTATTCAAGATTTACTTAGTTATTATTCATACTTTATTAATCGCTTATGGTTCCCACAACCTTAGTTATGAAAGTTAGCTACTAATTATCTCAAAAACACAACCAAAATTTATTAAAATAAGTATGCTTGTGTTAATCATAAAAAGTTAAGAACAATAGCTAAATTATATTTTATTAATCACGAATACAATTAAATAATAAAGGAGAAGAAAGAATAAACCACAATTCTCCGGCCTCCACGACGGCTCTCCCAAAGTTCCTAAGCTAGAAGAAAATTTATTTTGTGTCTTGTATCTTGGTTCTTGGCTTCCCTAAAGAATACTTTTCCATGCCCTATTTATAGACATAGAAACCCTAAGTAAAATAATTAAGTTCAAAACAAATTAGGAAAACAAAACACAATTAAATTGGATTTGCACTGTACGCACGCGTGATTTCTCCAAATTGTTGGCGGCAGAGAGGCGCCGATCAGCTGACACGTGGCAGCAGCAAGCCTAATTCGCATTGAATTGGTATTCAACTTTGCACCATATATAGGAATATATTATTTTAATAAATTTAATCCATTAAGCTGTCTGCTTGATTTCCTTCTTTAATCTCCCATTTTTAATTCGTTTTAGCTCCAAACTTCTTCGTTTTCCCACCAATTTAATCCTACGAATAAAATGTACTATTTAGCACATTACATAAAATTTATACTCAAAAAAGACAAATATAAATAATAAATGTGAGGAAATAATGATTAAAAAAATGTATTTTTAGCCTCACATCACTCCTCAACTTGTCTTAACTTATATCTTCCAATAGCTTGAACTCCCTAATATTCAAGAACCCTAATGATATTTAATGCTTGTTGTGTGAAGCTAAGAGAGAGAAGAGAGAAAGATGTAAAAATCTGTCAAAGTAAAAAATGGTCGGAAAAAGCTGATATCAATCCCTTTTAAATGGACCTGCTTTGGCCGACCTTCTCACTCATTTTGGGCCATAAATCATATAGTAGGTGATCCCTCTACTTGGACTGTTCACTTGGACCTTTTTGGACTTAAATATATTGGGTCTTGGCTGTCCATATTCCCCTTATTCTTCTATTCAACTTGGGCCAGTTTAATGCAAGTAGGTGGTAGTGTACTTTGCCCAATAAGATGGTCAAAAGTGTCTTAGTAGGTGATACACTTACTTGGTCTTTTGGGCTGGTCAATAAGTCAAAGTAGGTGATGCACCTACTTGTCATCTACTAGCTTAGTTAACTCTTAGTAGGTGATGCACCTACTTGGTCCTTTGGGCTGGTCAACAAGTCAAAGTAGGTGATGCACCTACTTGTCACCTTTTAGCTTAGTTAAGTCCAGCAAGCAGCTCACTTATTTTATTTCATTTTCTAAATCTTACTTCGTTTTTCTTTAACTTAGCACTTCACCTTAAAATTTAAGACCATATACGACCTTACTATCTCGAGTTTAAATGCTTTCGTGGGAGTTGACTTGGAGTATACACACTGAAACGTGCAAGGCAAAAAACACCTTCCAATTTATTTTAAACAACACTACTCATCTAAGAAATATGGTCTGTCACCAATACCATAAGCCTATGTCATGTGTCATATAAATAAAAGTAGCATATGGAGAATACAGGGCGCCTTCCTCCCCTCCTGAAGAACATTCTTCCTCGAATGTTAGCATAGTAGCCAGCTCCAAACCACTTCAAGCCTAAGTTAAATTATATTATTAGCCACATAGTTCATATAAACTTATACTTACCCGTCAATGAATCAACTCAACACTTTGACCTTTCCCTTTAGATTGAAATAAATGAGGATACTTGGACTTTATTGCTTGTTCTGCTTCCCATGTAACCTCTTCTACTTGTTGGTTTCTCCATAACACTTTGTGAGATGCTATTTCTTTATTTCTCAACTTCCTAACTTGTCGATCCAGAATAGCAATGGGTACTTCTTCGTAGATGAGATCTCCCGTAACTTGTACATCTTCAATAGGAGTAATATGAGATAGGTCACCTATATATTTTTGAAGCATTGAGACATGAAACACCGGATGAATGGTTGGAAGCTCTTGAGGTAGCTTTAAATCATATGCAACTTGGCCAATTCTTCGGATAATCTTATATGGTCTTATATAGTGTGGACTCAACTTTCCCTTTTTACCAAATCTCATTACCCCTTTCATTGGTGACACCTTCAAGAACACCCAATTCCCTATAGAGTATTCTAGTCCTCTCTTTCTAACATCCACATATGATTTTTGCCGACTTTGAGCTTTTTCTAGTCGCTGTTGTATCATTTTGACTTTATCCATAGCTTGATGAACAAGATCTTGCCCAAATAAGGCAGTTTCACCTATTTCGAACTAGCCAATTGGGGATCTATACCTTCTCCCATATAGAGCTTCATAAGGTGCCATTTGGATACTAGAATGATAGTTATTGTTATAAGCAAATTCAATAAGTGGTATATGATCATCCCAGCTACCCTTGAAGTCTAATATACAAGATCGCAACATATTCTCAAGTGTTTAAATTGTACGTTCTGCTTGACCATCCGTTTGAGGGTGAAAGGTTGTACTTAAATTCACTTATGTTCCCAAACTCTTCTAAAATGACTTCCAAAAATTTGCGGTGAATTGAGCTCCTTTATAAGATATTATAGATATTTTATAGAGATTGGCACTCCATGTAGTCAAACTATTTGTTTAATGTACAACCTTGCATACTCTTTAGCTGTATAAGTAGTCTTCACTGGCAAGAAGTGCGCTGATTTGGTGAGTCTGTCAACTATTACCCATATGGAATCAAACTTTCAAAATGAGAGAGGCAAACCAGTGACAAAATCCATGTTGATCATGTTCCACTTCAAATTGGAAGTTCTATACGCTGCATATAACCTCCAGTCTTTTGGTGCTCTACTTTTACTTGTTGACAATTTGGACTTTGAAACACAAATTAAGCAATGTTCTTCTTCATGTCACTCCACCAATACATTTCATTCAAGTCATGATACATTTTAGTTGACCCCCGATGGACATAATATCTTGAATGATTTGCCTTCATCATAATCCTCTTTCTTAATTCATCTACATTAGGTACACAAAATCTATTTTGACACCGATGTACTCCCTCTTGCATAAGCTCAAACGCCTTTGTCATACCATGTTGTACATTCTCCTTAAGCTGTAATAGAATAGGATCAGTGTACTGCTTCTCTTTCACTTCCACTACTAATGAGGATTCTGCCGCATTTTGCACAATAATCCCTTTCGTCCGGAGATTCAAGAAAGTGAACCCCCAAGCTAGCTAGTCGGTATAGATCTTTAGTTATCTCTTGTCTTCCCATGAACTTCCCATACGTGCTTGCAATTGTCTTACGACTTAAAGCATCAGCTACCACATTTGCTTTCCCAGGATGATACAAAATATCAATGTCATAATCTTTTAATAACTCATGCCACCTTCGCTGCCTCAGATTCAGGTCCTTTTGGTTAAAGATATATTGAAAACTCTTGTGATCAGTATATATGTCAACGTGAACTCCATACAATTAGTGACACCATATCTTCAAAGCAAATACAACTTTTGCTCGCTCTAGATCATGGGTTGGATAATTTTTCTGTTGTGGCCATAGCTTCCTTGAGCCATAAGTTATTACTTTCCCATGTTGCATCAATACAGATCCTAAGCCCACTCCTGAAGCATAACATTACACTGCATACCCTTCCATGCCATCTGGAAGTAAAAATATAGGTGTAGAAGTTAATTTATTCTTCAACTCTTGGAAGCTTCTTTCACATGCATCACTCAAATGAAAATTGATTTCTTTGTGTGTTAGCTTTGTTAAGGGTACAACACTGGAAGAGAATCCTTCAACAAACCTTCTATAATAACCTTCCAATCCAAGAAAACTATTGATCTCCGTAGGCGTTGTAGGTCTTTGCCAGTTTTTCACGGATTCTATCTTTTGAGAATCAACCTTTATTCCTTCATCAAATACAATATGACCTAAGAATGCCACAGATTTACACCAAAACTCACATTTAGAGAACTTTGCATACAACTTACGATCACAGAGAATTTGTAAAACATGCCGCAAGTGATTAGCATGGTCCTCTTCCAATCTTGAATACACCAAAATGTCATCTATGAATACCATCACGAACACATCTAGAAATGGCTTGAACACCCTATTCATCAAATCCATAAAAGCCGTTGGTGCATTTGTTTACCCGAATGACATGACTAAAAACTCAAAATGACCATACCGTGTTCGTAAAGCTGTCTTGGGTATATCTTGATCTTTGACCCTCACTTGGTGATAAACCGACCTCAAGACGATCTTTGAGAAGCACTGAGGACCTTGTAACTGATCAAACAAATCATCAATTCTAGGGAGTGGATATTTGTTCTTAATCGTTACCTTATTCAACTGCCGGTAGTCAATACACATTCTTAACGAGCCGTATTTCTTATGTACAAATAAAACTAGTGCTCCCCGTGGGGACATACTAGGCCTTATGAATTCCTTTTCTAACAAGTCTTTTCATTTCTCCTTCAACTCCCGTAATTCTTCCGGGGCCATTTTATATGGAGGGATAGAGATAGGTTGAGTATCTGGAATCACATCAATACAAAACTCTACATATCATTCTAGAGGCAAACCCGGAAGATCATCACGAAATACATCAGGAAATTCATTTACCACTAGAATGGATTGAAGAGTTGGAGACTCCACAACTATATTTTTCACCCTTACTAGATGACATATGTATTCTTTGGACATCATCTTCTTTGCATTAAGGTACAGAATAAACTTACCTCTTGGTGCCCCAATATTACCTTTCCATTCAAGGACTGCCCCTTTTGGGAAATGGAAACACACTATCTTAGTTCAGCAATGTACCGTGGCATAAAAAGAAGCTAACCACTCCATACCCATTATAACATCAAAATCTACCATTTCTAGCTCAACAAGGTCAACCAATATATCACAATCACAAACAGTTACAATGCAATTACGATAAACCTTTCTAGCTATTATAGACTCACCAATCGGTATAGACACTTCAAATGGCTTCACAAGTAATTCTGGTGTTCTTTTCAACTTACCAGCAATTAATGGAGTAATATAAAACAATGTAGACCCCGGATCAATTAGTGCATATACAATATGTGAAAAGATGGACAATGTACCTGAAACCACATCCGACAAAGCTTCCAAATTTTGTCGACCCCCAACACCATATGTGCGATTCTGAATTCCACTAGAACTAGCTGCTCCTCTAGCTCATTTACCATCACCTGTAGGAATCTGTAGTCCCCTACCTAAAGAAGGTGTTGATGAGGACGATGCAGCAAATGATCTAGTAAGCTCTACAACACCACTCATGCCCCTATGAGGGCAATTTCTCACTATATGACCCAGTGTACCACACCAAAAACAAGCATTTGTCCCAAACCGACATGCACCTAAGTGATTTCTTCCACATTGTTTACAACACTATCGAGGATGTCTTTATTGACTCATACTTCCCTGCTCTTAGTTCCCCGCTGTTTGTGAACCTTGGCTTTCACCTCTTTGCACAAACTAATTTCCCCTAGACTCTTGAAACGGAGGTGGGCACTACTTGTAGAGTAGGAAGATGATGTCCTAGGTGGTCTATTAAAGAACCAAGGCCTAAACTCACCTTGGGATGGCATAAACTGCCCGGTGGATTTGGCTCTCTTGGACTGCCCTCTTTCCAAATCTTGGATCCTTCTGCTTTGTCTTTGATCCTCCAACTATTGTGCAAAATCTTGCATTCTTTCTATATTCATGTCTTTATTCAATGAAGCAATGGTACTATCTCTAACCAGATATGAATCTAATCGATCCACATATCGATGAACTCTATCCTGTTTAGTAGCTACTACATTAGGAGCATACATGGCCAAGGAATTAAATTTGAAACTTTACTCTCTCACGCTCATACTTCCTTGATGGAGATTTAAGAACTGATCCGCATGGGCCTCTCGTAATTCCAATGGCAGATAATGGTCAAGGAATGCCTTTTTGAACTCTTTCCACATAGTTGAAGCTGCATTTGTTCCCCTAGATTGCTTCCAAAGTTCATACCACAATATAGCGACACCCTTTAATCTATATGCTGCTAGTTCAAGTGCTTAACCACTTCATGCATAACATTTAAAGTACGTTGGATCTAATCTATAAAGTTTTGTGGATCTTCATTAGGATTTGACCCGGTGAATGATGGAGGGTCTAATTAAAAAATCACGTATCGGCATGCCAGTTGCTCTATCTATGCCACTAGTACCTGCAACTGGACCTTTTTGCCTTTGGTTGTCTCCAGCAACTATACGAGTAAATAATTGGACTGCATTCTTTAAACCTTGCTCGTAGCATTAATAGGGGGTTCTTGAGGTGCAGCTTCCCTCCTTAGATCTTTCGTAGATAGAGGGGTCAGGAAAGTCTGTGATAGAGACTCATCGTGAGCCTCACTTTTTCCAACAAGCCTAAATGGTGATTGGCTGGTCCCTTCTCCAACATCCACATCTATTTGCTTACTTGTACTTATACTCCTTCTCGTAACCAGTATCTTTACTATAATAAAGCAAATTAGAATTTAGATATGATTCCCCTGCAACATTGGTTCTATTGCACGGTCTAAGAGATGAAAGAAAGAGACAACTCTTAAATGTCTCGTAGCTTCCTGCTTATAGATCTGGTGCACAACATATCCATAAGAAAGACTCTACATAGACATGGCTTTGTAGACTCCCTAGGATGACCTTCTCTGATATCACTTTTGTCACACCTCAAATCCCATTGAGACGGATAGGCACCCGATGCCGTAAAGGCCCGAGAGAACATGCATATAACCTGTACCTACCATATGTTTAGCCAAGATAATCATGAAGCTCTAACAAGTATACGTATAAGCTACAATGATAAAAGAAAAAACATAGGCTGCCCCAAAATATATACATATGACTCGGTCGTTGAGGCGACAACTGTTAAGGAACCAACCATAAATCCATGTTAGGCATTAGTCTACAATGCCTTTATAAGATAGACAAACTTAGAGTAGGTCGGGAAAGACCCCGCCTTACCCTTAACTATGATACAATACCAAAATAAATCTACCAAGAGCTCAGTAAAGCTCCGAATCAACCTGGAGCTCACCAAAAGTAGCTAAGTGTCGTGTGCTCCTATTGATGAGGTCTACTAGCTGGGGTACCTGTGCCTGCAGCATGAAATGCAGCATCCCCTCGAGGGACGTTTGTACCAAAAAATTTACTGAATGTGTAA